CCGAGACTCAAAATTTAAAAATTTTGCCTGTCAGACCCCCAGTGTGTACACCTGCAAAATCTCACACTATGTTCCAGGGGATTAAATTTGACCTGAATCAGTAATCATGTACATTAAGCAAGGATACAAAAATAGAACAGCTCTATTATTTATTGTATTTTAAAGTATGATAGTTATAACTTGTTGCTTACATTGATTTGTGTTTTTTTGCAGGTCAGATGGATATACCACAAACAGACTGGATCAAGTCTTCAACATGTAGGATTTAGAGGTTATCTTGAGTACCGTGTAAGTGTATATCGTACTTTGTAATCCAGCTCTTGAGTGAACCAGATAAACAGAACATGGCTGGCTTGTTCAGAAGACAACTTATAATGTAATGCTTCTGTTCAGTTGGACCACAGTTATGTTAAAGATTTGAGCTAAGTTCTGCTATAGTTTAAGCAGTTTTACATCATTTCCATGTGTCATTGCAAAAATTTAAAACTATATCTTCAATCACCCAATTAAATGGCAAACTTTCAAATTCACAGAATCACACTATCAACAACAACATTAATTTACTGAAAGTTTGGCAGAAAACAGCAAAGGACAAGGCTAATTCACCTAACAAAAAGTTAAATTCAGGCAAGTTACTGCAGTACACTGATGTGCATTGAAGTTTCATATAATCATTCAGTCAAGTTAATTTCTCTTTCAACAAAGCTTAAATATGCTAAAATATTTTATGCCAATAAAAAGTTTTAAATTAAAGATAACAACATAACAGCAAGCCAAGAATTAAAGTTTGTTTATGAAAGGAAAACATGCAACTCAAAAAGGTGGCCTCAACTCAGCATCTCAGAATTTAAAAATGTTGGTTGAAATGAGCATTTCATCAAACAACAACTTTGTGTAAACTAATATGAGCTGATCACCCAAAACATGTTCTAAATTTTTCAAAATTCAAAATTTGGAAGCTAAAGTATTTCAGATTTTGTTGGAACTGTGGTTAGGAACTCTGTTTATTTGCTCATGAGTTTTCACTTGGATAATTGACAGCACTGAGAACTTAATGCACAGAATCATGTTTTTGTATCAAATTTTTCCTCTTTTCGACATAGAAGGAAAAGAGATGTAAAACTGACTGCAGGTTTGATCAGACATGCAATCTACATTGTGGCTTATACAGCTAACATCAATAGTTTACTGATTGGTTGACTGGCTGACTGACTGACAGACTGACATGCTGATGGACTGACTGACCCACCGACTGACTTGCTGACTGACTGATTGACTGTTTGATAGACTGACTGAGACGGTCGTGGGCATACTAGCTCATTCATTCTCTCGCTGAAGGACTGACAGGCTGACTCTTATCTGCCATGGGGCTGACTCTTTGACTCAATGAATGAGTTACCAGGTTACACTTCTCTCTTGGGGGCTGAGAAGCAGACTCACTGGTTAGATTATATAGCACCCACTGGCTGACTGTCTTAGGACTTACTGACCAACTTATTACCTCACAGAAACAATGACTGATAGATTCTACTGTCTAATGATTGACAAATGGACACTGATTGAATGAGTCAGAGCAGACTTGCTGACTGTCTACAGGACTTACTGTCAAATTCAGTGACTCACTTAAGGAATTACTGGCTGTCCCTGCTGTCTAGGAACTGACAAGCTTACTTACTGACTGAATGATTTAGAGCAGACTTGCTGACTTTCCTAGGACTTGTCACCTCTACTGTCTGGGGGCTGACAAACTGACTTACTGACTGAATGATTTGGAGCAGACTTGCTGGCTTTCCTAGGACTTGCCACCTCTACTGTCTGGCGGCTGACAAGCTGACTTACTGACTGAATGATTTATTAATTACTTAGGGCTCCTTGACTGATACACCGACTCATTGAAACACTGATTGGCTGATTGTCTTAGCTGTATGGTCTCGATAGATTGTATGTCTGCTTCTATTTCATTTCTTTGTACAGTAAATTTATTGTGAACTTTATTGTGAATCTCAAATCTCCCATATCTATTTGTATCTCCATAAACTGCAAGGGGAATGGGCACAAGCTTTTGGTGCAAAGGTCTATGGGATCGTATGGGTGACAACTTTGTTTTGATTGATCGGTGGTACCCAAGTTAAACTTAACAAGCGCGCAAAGCAGTCTGGGTAAACGTGCATAATCATCTTTTTTATTGGTATTCTTCCTGGAAAACCTGTATTTGACACTGCTGTAACACTAAATTCGCTTTCTTCTCATCTCGTTTGTTTCCTAAAAGACGGAACAGTAAGAGTTTTAAAACGTTAAATTTAACCATCTATTTGGTGTACACAAGGAAATTTTTAAGTTAAAAAAGTAGTCTTATAACTTGGGAACCAATCCGTGACACAATGTATGTTTGTTTGTTTATGAAAACAAAGTACGCCTTTTCCCATTAATGGAATCTATGTACTGCTTAGACTGAAAAATGGCATTGAAATCCCTAGTCCAGCGTTGAATAAACCTGCGGTTTGAACGTTTTTAGATCAGTTTACTCATAGTTAGTACTCTACTAACTATGGTTTACGCGAAGACATTTTTAGTTGCGTGGGGAGATTTGAGATTTTTTAGTGTCCAGGGTGATCAACATGTTATCTAACATTTTCATCACTGTGGGAGTAAACGAAGTTCACAGTATGAAGGCAAAAGGTCTTGGATAACGCTTTGTTGTGTAATTTCAGACCGACTTTACTAAATAATTTATTATACCGCAAAATACGCCACAATGTGAACGTTCTGATTTTTTTTATTTTCAATTTGCTGCTTAATCGTAGTCTTGTTTGAAGTTGTTCTTGAGATTGTCGCGCAAGGCGTTTGTCTCTGCGTGACGAGCCCAAGAGCAACTTTAGACAGACAAGATATTTTTCAGTCGATCTCGTTTCTAAAAAGCACTTATTTGTGGCGTACTTGCGTTTAATTGCAAGCTGTTTGATTAAAATTAGTCTGGATTTTACCACTAAGCTTTACCAAGAGTTTGTCAAAAGCAGAACTTAGCTCGCTCTTGATTTAAACCAAGTAGTACTTAAATGCGCAAAATACGAGTGTTGGTGCGAGCTTGAGAAAGACCTTTCACGATTGTTGCTTATAAGCAAAGTTATAAGAATTTGCGAGCGCGAACGGTCTCTTTATTGACTTGCCAACACGCGCGAGTATTTTCAGTTTCGCTGCTTTGGAAGGTTATGTTTTTTCGAAAATTCGCATCGACATTTGTACTTTGTTGAAGTACTTGTAGTTTTGTCATACGTAAAGGATCGGACACAATAAAATATTGTGCGCAGTATAATTACGTCGTTTTTCGGCGCTGGGATTGTTGCGTTCGATGTGTGAAGAAAAACGATTATTTCTTAAATTCAACCTATCTTTACAACATTTTATGCAACAATCACTTGGCTGGAAAACGGTGTAAGTTAAAGACAAGTATATACTAGCGACATAAACACAAGCAAAACCGGTAGACAACAACTGAGTGCGGTGAGATCATGAACAACATAAGCAGAAGCAGAAACATAGGAAGAAGGAACACACTCATTCTATTCTTGTTCTTGTCACTAATTCACGCAAATTAAGGACAAACACAAGAAAAATAAAGCGAACTCGTTTGTTTTTCCTCTACTTGTTCTTTCAATGCGTTAATTACTCGTGAGAATAGAAAGAATGAGTGCGTACTTTCTGCTGTGTTTGTGTTTATACTTGTGCTGTAACGTCCGCGCTTAATAAAACTTGTGCTTGTGTTGATGTCGCTGGTGTAAACAAGTCTTTACTGCGCGCAATGTTTTACTGTGTTCGAGCCTTTCTTTTTCTGGTTCACTCAAGTAGTTGGATTACAAAGTAAACAGTACGGGTACTCAAGATAACAGTACTTTATTGAAGCAATAAAACTTGTCTCTGTTGTCCATTTATTTACAATAAAAAAAAATATTTAAAAAAAAGTAATCTAGCCTCCCTCGCCCCTGCCGGGCTGCTTCCACTCTGCTCCGAGTCGGTGTTCATTCTTCTGTCCTCATTTAATATTCCAACTTTAAAATCCTGGTCTGTTTTATCTGATCCCTTCATTCAAGCTTGGGGTAGTTTGACACTTAGAAAATTCAGCCGTTTGTTCCCAAGTAGGGTGGGCAGCGTGAAGAAAAGTGAGAGTTTGCTCCTCATGTCCTCAGGGTCTCATTCAACTTTGTCACAATACCACACCAATTAATTTGGAATTAAAATTTTGTTGCCACTAAATTTGTGCTGAAAAGTTAAATTTTGATTGAAGTTGCGTGTCTACAAATTCAATATATCGTAAATATCCAAGAGCCGTAGATGAGAAAAAAAAGGGCCCTACCAGAGTGAAACTCAGTACTAAGTGCGCTTCCGTCGGCAAACGAAGGCAAGAATTAAACACTGAATCCCGCTTAGTCTGACCGGACCTTCATTCCTCAAACTTCACCAAAGAGCACAAGTCAATAATAATCTCTCCCCTGAGAGCTTCTGATACTGGATTTCTTTTGCCCTATTTAATGTTTATTTAGTGTTTATACCTTAATCAAAAGCAATTTGGTAGTGTCTTTATTTTTATGTTATTAGTGTCATTCTAAAATTTCGAGATTTCTGAAGGCAATTAATTAAAACATTTTGAAGCAAAATTTACGCGTTACTGGTTCAGTGCCGCATAAATTGTGCTCCAAAATGTTTTGATTAATTGCAAATTAACCTGCTCTTATGATTAAAGGCTGCCGTTATTTATAATCCGCGCCACTTTGGTTTTCGAAAAGAGTTTTTCTAAGCAAACTTATCGCGAGAGAATTGTAAACCTCGGCTTTATTTAATCCCGAATTTAATATAGCTTGCTGTGATGTTTTCCTGCATAATAATTAATTACCCAAAGATTCAGTGCCGCAAAAATTGCGCTTCTAGAAGTTTTGTTTAATTGAAGGTAAACCTTCCCTAACGATATAAAATTGCGCTTATTTAACATCAGTCAGTTATCGAAAAAAAGGTTTAATATTTCTTACGGAAAATTAGCTTGAGAGAATTGCAAACCTAATTTAAAGTTAATGTCTCCTGGAAAAAATTGGATTCAATGTTGAGTCTTTATTTATGCAGCTTGTCGTGATGTTTTCCCGCATAATAATTAATTAACCCAATCCAAAGTTCCCTCGAGATTTCTAGCCTTAGTCACGATGGTCACGCCAGCCGACTTCAACAGCCTTGCATGACGACCGTGACAATAGCTCTTCAAAAAGCGTAGAAACACCGAAGCAGCTGCATAAAATCAAATGGCTGTGACTGAAATGGACACTTCAAATCGGAATTCCGATATAGGACTGGGGGTGGCCAAATATACTTTAAAGACTAAAACAACAATTATATGAAATTAAGTCCTATACCGGAAACTCAATTCTGAAAATATCAATTGAAGTCACCACCAAGAAAATCTCCAAAAGTAAGAGTTAAGACTATCAATGTCTAAGAAGCTGTGTTTATAAAACGATCCGAAACTTAAATATTTAGGCCAAATTGCCTGATTTATCACACAATCCATAGAAATCTACTCTATGTCCCTCCTAACAAGAAGAATATAGAGCAGACTACCACAGCTGTCTGATTAATCACGCTTTTTGAAAAGTCGTTACTGTTTTTCCCTAATGGTTTAACACCTAAGAATTTCGATTTTTATCAAAGAAAATTTTTTTAGACGAACATCCACACCCACGTTTTTTTTTACTTGTTGTTTTAAGTTGCCAAAAAACAACAGGCAAAAAAGTAGATGTTGACGCAGCCTAACTTAAGTTTTGATTATTTTGAAAAAGTTAGAGAAAAGAAGTCAGACCTATATATGAGCGATATTTTGTTTAAATGGTTTAGTGATTCAAAAACCTACAAGGGAATATTGCATTTTTGGAAAAAGGTTTTTATGCGACATATAAGTTTTGCGATCTTTTGGAAAGCTACCTATATATGCTACGCGAGATTTAGGTTTAGAAGAGAAATCCATAACCAGTTACCCTCATTGGAGAGATTCTTAGAGACTATCAGCTCAATTTGATGCAATTTGTGAAAATTCAGGTAAGTCAAACCAGTGCAATTCAGTGCCCAATTCTTGCCAACGAATCCTCCTTCCACACACCTTTCCTTAAGCCGGGGAGCACAATGCTAGCACCCCCGTAAATCACATCCAAGACAGATGAACATTCCCAGACATATTGTTTGCAGACAAGCTCCTTCCTAGGTCGAAATGTGTTTTTATTTGGAAAAACGTGTGGTATCATAACAAAATGAATGAGGCCCTAAAAACATGAGAAGCAAACTCTCACCTTCCTTCACGTTGTCCTCCCCACTTGGGAACAAACGGCCAAATCTTCCAAGTGCCAAACTGCCCCCAGCAAGAATTACAGAATCAGATAAAGTTTCTCAGGATTTCTCCGTTGGAATATCTCAGAGGACATCAGAAACACACCTTCTCAGAGACAGAGCTTCCACAGCCCAGCAGGAGCGAGGTTGGCTAGATTAAACATGACCTTTCCCAAGTGATGGGCTCCTAATCTTGTGTGTGTGCCACCTGAGATCTGAAATTAAATAATAAGCTAAACTTTTAAGTAGAAAATGCAAGCCCATTAGCACTTTAAAACGTAATAGCCTTGTATTACTTGGTGTTACCAAAAATTTCGAAAAAAGCAATAACTCTACCTTATTTCTAGTTATTTTATAGCGCCACATTACTACCTGTAAATAGCAACATGGTAACCTGCTAAAAAGCAAAAACCTAGAGTGAAAAAAAAAACAAAAAACAAGCGAACCTGAAATTTAAGCAAGAACTTTTATAACACCAAGAAATAAAGACATGCATGATTATAAAATAATAATCTTAACATAATGAAACAAAATGTGATGGTAACCTATGGTCCGCAGGCTTAAATATGCTGTCTAGAATACGCTGCTAGGATAGCTGAAAGCTTAATTCTGAACACTCTTTGTGTTCTCCACTGAAAAAAAAAACAATGTAAGCACTAACCGTGTAGGTTGTGAAATCAGCTCTAATTTTTGTTTCTAGAATTGAAGTAGAATGAAAGTTTGATTTATAAACAGACCAGTGATCACCTTTAACAGTAAAGATATTAAGGCAGTGCTTTGATAAACCTAACCTGAATAGAAACACTGAGTTGATACCCAGCGCTTTGTGTCTATACGTTAACCTTACTTGCAAAATAATTTTTCTAGTTTTTTGTTTTGTTGTTGCTTGGTTCCTTTTGGATGGTAAACATTTAGTTAGCAACAATAATTTATGCTTTGTAGTATGCCAAAAAATTCGATTTGAGATAAAAAAAAACCTTGCTTTTTTGATGCCAATACAAAAACACTTAGTCTCTAGCTATGAAAGATTTATGCTAGTCTAGGTTTAATGAATGCTAGTTGATTCCCGGTTAAAGCTAGGTCTTAAGTGTGCTAATGGGGTTGTTGTTTGTTTGTTTAAATAAATAATAATATTATTATTATATTATAAGCAAAGGAAGCATTATTACCAATCATTCTCCCACCTACTTGCTACAATTTGGAAGGCAAAAAATTGAAAGTTTAAAATGATTCCCTCAATTCATTCCAGGTTACTTGCAAGCTGAAATCTCATAATAGTACAAGAACTGTGACATTAACTATTCTTTTGCATTTCAGTGCCAAATGTTGAGATTTAGTTTCCCCTAGCAATATCATGTACCCCAGAGAGGACAAAAATCATCTCATAATTAATTTTAATCAAATTTTTATGTCAATTCAGTTTTTAATTGCTTCCTTTGCTTATAAATCAGGAACAGCACAAAGCTACCGAGATCAAGCTACCTAACTGTGGAAAAACCTGAATCTGAATCATATTTTTCCCAAATTGCTTGTCTTTTAAAATAAA